TATGTTTCATTATGTATTATATTTTGTTCATACAAGGTTTTGGTTTGTCATTAATCATGATATGTTTAGTGTTGTCACATATAGTTCATTGACAAATTTTATATGGTTGATAGATGAGTTTCACAATATTATTTTGAAGGAGAACAATATGGTTTGTAGAAGCTAAATACACAAATTTAATATAATGATTGAAAATATAGTGAGTTTAATTGAGTATAAATTAGTATTTTTAGAACCGATAACCCGATTAGTATCCGAAACCGAAACTATTTCGGGTTCAACCGGATCTTGGACATGTTACTAAACCCGAACCGAACCCTATTAAACCCGAACCGAATCCGACCCGAGTCTTTATAATATCCGAATGGGGCTGAAATTCATGAACCCAAAAACCCGAAACCCGAATGAACCCGATCCGAAACCCGATTGGGACCCCGATTGCCCAGCCCTACCTAAAAGATTATATCTGCCTGATGATGAGGAGGATAGAGACAAGAAGTGGCTTCAAGGTCTTAGCAAAGTGGCAAAAGACATTGCCAACAGAGACAACAATTGAAACCCCTAAATAAGGGAAAGAGACTTAGAGACATATAGGTCAGACAAATCTTCTTTAATCACCCTTTGGCCAGTTACAGAACTTCAGGGTCAGGAATAAAAGCGCATGTTGTTGTGGAATATTGGTCACAGACATGAAAACATAAGAATTTGAATTCAAACCGAATCTTTTAACACATTTCTGCTGAATGAAGAAATAAGATTTGATCACCAAGACAAGCAAATATCGAATCAAACAATTAGAAAATAAGGAAGTAAAGCTGGCTGATTTTTTTTTTTTTTTGCAACCATTGATTGTCGTCATCTTGGTGTTAATTAGCGTAACGAAATGTCAATGCTTTTGCTGAGTTCCTCAAGCTTTGTCATTCGCAGTTTCTCGCTTTCAGTAACAAGCTGAGCACAATTCATACCAAAAAAGATTTAAAAAAAAAAACAAATCATTTTAAACAGAAAAGACAATTTAACTGAGACAGAATGTTTCACCTCAACTAACTTGTTAATAAACATAGCTTTCTCTTTGTTCTTTTCATTGTAAGCTTCAAGTGCTTCTTTAAATTCCTTCTCCTGTAGAAAAAAACATTAAGATAATATAAGCAAGAAATATAAGATTAATGAACAACTTAAAACACATTCATATTACCTTTCTCTGACAACTCTGTCCTAAAGGCTTGAGTTCCCGATTAATAGCATCTACTCTTTTCCTTATCGCGGATATCTCCTTCCGCATTGGATCGGTTAGAGCTTCCAGCTCCTAAAATTTCACAACCACAGCTCTCTAAAAATGAAAAAAAAAAAAAAAAATTCCAAGTTCTTGAAAATGTTAGAAACAAACTTACTTCCCGAATCTCGGCTAGTCTCCTAGTAGCTTCCTCAGCGAGTCCAAGCTTTGTCTGAACCCTATCCCTAACCTCCAACTTCCTCCTTTCAATCTCATCTTCTTTTGCTTTAAACAAAGCCAAAGCTGAGCGTGAAAACTCCTCTTCTTTGTCATCATTCATAGGGCTTCCATTGGTGTTTATGGTCCCTGAACTCTTGATGCGTTGAATAAATGGCGATTGTGGCTGCAGTTCCGAGATCTGTCTTGTTGTTGCCATGTTTTTTCTCCAAAATCTTTTCTCTCTCCCTTAGCAAAGAAGATGACTTGTTATATAACCCAAGATTTTGCGTTAAGAACTTATCACAACTCATTAATATGGTACTTAGCTTACTAATGCTGTTGAAATGACTAAAAGGCCCTCATGGTCAACACACCATTACTGATCAAACATGTATTTTACACTAACTTGGTTAATAGAAAGGGAAATGTATTGGGGGGGGGGGGGTTGGAGGAATTCCAAGTGGGTCTAAAGCTCTAGTAGGTTTAAGATGTTTCTTTTCAAATGGTAATTAACAATTTTGAAATATGTAGCTAAGATGTAGTTCTCACTGTTTGGTTCTCAATCCATAAATAAGACAAAGATCAATAAAGTAGGCACATGTATAGATTATATTTGGATTACAAAAAATGTTAGGTGTGTGGTTGAAGGAAAATAGAAAATGAAATTATAATTTGTAATTGATTTTATATGACGATCAAACTAAAAATAACATGTATAATTTCTTTATTTTTCCATAAAAAGGAAAAAACAAAAATCAAAATAAAATGTTTCGTGCAGTGGACAGAAGAGTGCTTGTGATGGAAGGCTTCTTGTATTGGGGAGGGGACAATATAATATGGGAGCACTGTCAACTTACGGGAAAAGCAATTGTTTTTTTTTTTTCTGAGAAGGAAAAACAATTGTTGATTATATACTCATATGTGTACATACAAATATATCATCAGTAAATATGACAGTTGAAACAATTTGGATATTGACATAACTTTTACATAATACAAAATTAGATGTGTGTTTTCTAGTGGTTGAAGCTTGTGAAGTAATTCATGAAACATGGCATAAACTCGCAGTCGTCGGGTTTGCATCATATCTCACTAGATAATATTTATTATCAAAACTAATAAAATTACAAATGTATCCACTTAAATACTGTTCATGTTTTTTTTTTTAATTTACTATTATCATGATTATCAATCCATATTGAAAACTTTACCAACATTCCAATGTTGTAAAAGAATCTTCTTTTTTTCTGCTACCAAGAAAATAATATCTTTTTCTTATTAGAATTTTACTTTTGGATAATTTCAAATGGTTTGAATTGATCCTCGTCAAATCAGAGCATGTAAGTTTAGCTGTATCACCAAAATTTAAACTAGTGACCCTGATTACCCTTTGTAATAAAGTCCCCAATTACACCAATTAGATTTATATTTTTCCGCGTTGGCGGATTTTCAGTGCTAGGTTATTAACAGTATGAATCATTAGATATAAATATGTTACAAGTTTTGAAATAAGTTTATATAATCCTCTATATACTAAAGCACAAGTCACTCAAGCAATCAGATTTTGACATGTGTATTTTTAAAATTTTAACAAAAAATACAAAAAAAATATCAAATAGAAAACAGTTTCGTTTGGCTATCAACTAATTTCTATTAATTATTTTCTACAAAATAAAAATCCCTAATATTTCTCCCACTACACCCATAATTTCTCTTTTGAAACTGTTATCTTCCTCTACATATGATTTAACTCACGTTGCCATTAATTCTCTCTGAAATTCCAACATCAAACCCTATAGATCAAAAACTTCTTATGGCGTGTTCACACTGCTAAATCAACAAATGAAGCATCTAAATACTTTTTTGCCAGACGGTTGAACAACAGTAGTTTTGAAAGAATTTTCTTTCAAGAAATTATAAGAAGAAGAACACAATAAGCGATGGATTGATTAGGGAATCATACTGCAACTGGAAGATGAAGATTAAAGTCAGGTTAGTGAAACTAAAAACATCAAAACTCTCCATGTCCAAATAAATTTCTTTTCCTGAACTTTTTTTCTTTTAGTCTATATATAACGTTTCTCCTTTCTTAGATATTGGCAAAAAAAATACTACACTGGGGAAAAAGGTAAATGTAAACAATAATATTTAAAACATTTTAAAATGGACTAAATCAATTTTTATTTGCTTATATATGTTCATTTGTTGCAGTCGTGGTAGTTTTTCTTAGAACAGTAGTGATAGTTCGGAAACAGAAAATAATACTAACACCTCAAAACACACGTACAAAGCTCCTAATTTTTAGAGAATCACCAAGAGAAGGAAAAAAGAAAACGAAAAATGTAGGATAATTAGAAGACAATGAATGTGGTCTAAGAAATATGGCCTGTACAGAAAAAATGAAAAAAAAAAATCATTTATACGGTCTAGATCAAGGATCTTACGTGATTAGGCTGATTTTTCTTACTTTTATTTTGTGTGTTTATAATCTTTTCAATGTGGTGATATATTTTTGATTATTATTAGATTAAACATATGCAGTTAATCTTCTACATGTTTTCATTTGTATTTTCTCCTAGAAACTAAGATCCTATTTTATCAATGCAAGTATAATATTAAAAATGAAGAATGTAAAAGAGTATTACAAAAAATATATATACAAAAGAAGAATATTGAAAAGATTTTTTAAAGATATTAACATCAATAATCTACAAAATTAAAGTTGGTATTTTAATTATACTTTTCCAAGTTATATGCTTTCCATCAATTTGGTTTTTGATATGTAATGTTGTTTTTTTTGGTTTTGGAAAATAGATTAATATAGAACATTCATCTTATTTATTGGTTTTATTGTAATATAAACAACAAAATTTTAAAATTACCAGTAAATATATCTCTATTAACACTTATTTATTTCCCCTGTCAAAATAAAAACCCTTCAAATAATATTTTAAAAATTGTAAATTATCAAAAAAAAAACCGTGCTTTGCACGGGAGATAATACTAGTTTTTTATAAAACACGTATTTATTTACCAAGTAATATATAAAACACATACTTTAATTACCAAGTGATCAAAACACATATTTATAAGCACGTACTCATTTTACCAAGTGATATCATAATATCTATATGGAGAACAAAACTGATAGATCAAAAAATGAAGGAGTTGCTTGGCTCTGGACAGGGCCGGCCCTGGACAATGTCTAGTGAAACATTTGTTTCAGGCCCCCAAAAAATTTGAAGAAAATTACATGAGTATAGGCCCCAAAAAAACTTTTAGGTCTCCAAAATTTTTTTTTACATAGAAGTCGCCATAGGCCCCTAAAATCTCAGGGCCGGCCCTGGCTCTGGAGAATCATATATATTGTAGAGAATCATATATATTGTACTCGGCACAGTGTTTGTGTTGCCAAAGCAGCGCATGCAATATGAAATTGATATTTGTGAAAACTTTATTAGTTTGAAATAAAAATAAAAGTTAAGTGCAAACTGCAAACGTTTTGGACCATAATATGACGGCGTCGTTATGATCTTGGTCATGTTCTATTTTCCTCTCGTAAAATTGTTTTTTTTTTGTGTGGTCATGGTCTTTTGTACTTCCACTTGTTCGCCACACGAGTCATATATTCTAGATGAGCAAAAATACGAAGATGGACCAATATCAGATTCATACTAGTAATTCAAGAGTCAAAATAACATATTCTACAAACAAGTATATAAATAAACTGATATAGTGAATTTACCAAGTCAAAATCAATATTGTCTCCTTAGTCTTAGTCTGAATTCAAAATTAACGAAGTAACCTACGTAACCTTAAGTGAATGTTCTCTACATATAAATATATGACTTTACAACTTACACAATTTGTAAAACTTTGTAGACCACCTGAGCAAAATATACACCAAGCAAAAAAAATGTACGTGGCTCGTTTAATAACTTTGATGATTCTGTTGTTCTTTGCACCATCAAACACAGTCTCTGCTCGATTACCATTCGATAACAAATTTCTCCATACAAGTAAGTTTATAATCATGATAAACTCTTTCCGTCTCTTTATTCGGTTTTTATGTTTTTCTTTCAAAGAAATTAGTATTTGAAATTAGTATTTGAAATTTGATTTTGTTTTGTTTGGAAAAGAAATAGGAAATGTGGTTTGGGATCAAAAGGTTATAATTATAAACGAGATCAAGGGTCATGTGAAGCCCAGCAAGTCACCGCGTGGAGGTCAAAGAAATCGCCGACCTAGTCCCGAACCCTAGGTCACAACTATATCGGGGAATATGACCAACCATGCATTGGGAGTAGTTAAACTGTTATTTTTATGGACATACATTATATATAGTTGTTGTTTCAAAGATTGTTTCTATAATTAGCTTCTCATACATGTAAAGAAAGGTATGCTCAAGTCATGTGTGTAAATCTGTTTGGCTTATTTAAAATATATTTCTTCTTCAATATGTAAATGAATTCTTTTGTATTGGGGAGAAGACATAACTAGATCGTCTCATATGTGTAATTAGATCATTTAAAGGGTAAGTGAACATAATTTTCCGAATAGTTTTTATTCAGTAGCATATGATCATCCCATTCCCACCTAATTACTCTAATATAAAATGTGTAAATATATGCCCATTTTAATTACTTTAGAGCAACCACACTAGTGAACCCCCCTTTGGGATTCACAAACTTTTTTTATTATTTTTTGGTGGGACCATGAATAGTGTTGAATCCGGATTAAATGTGCGCTTCCATCAATGAATCCAAAGTTGGGGTTCATAGGAATAAAATATTATTTTTTATTTTAAAATTTTTTGAATATGTTTTTTTATAAAAATATATTGAATAGAATTAGAATGTTTGACCAAAAAACATAATGAAATAATTTTTGAAGAAGTGCAAAACATGGAAAATAAAATTTTTATTTATTTTATAAAATGTTTTATTCGATACATTGATAATTCATGAAGATACAAAGATTACTAATTGAGATTACTAAACTTCTGCCAAATATTTTCGACCAAATCGGCTTTCAAACGAGAATGTGTCTGCGCATCTCGAATTTGATTGCGAATGCCAAGCATATTATCGCCATTCAAAGATGTTGTCGTGTGAACTTGGGAACTTCTGCTTGACTCTCCTGTCTCGAACTCAGATGTATCATAAAGAGTGTATGAATGTCGTTCGTCCTCAACTATCATATTGTGCAGTATGACACAAGCTCTCATAATCCTCCCTATTTTATTTATGTCCCATAGTAGAGCTGGGTTTTTAACGAT